TCTTTACAATCAATCTGAAGTCAGCAGTTAGTCTTTAGATGGATAATCTCAAACTACGAAGTAATTTAACCATCACAAAATTTAACAAAAACCTTTACAGCTCTTTTGCAAAACACATGCCGCATACTACTGCACCGATTACAAACATCTGTCCGTCACTACAACGACGTCCGAAGAAGCGGATCACGGCGTTTCATCGTCGTTGTAATGCGACTATGTTGTTGTGACCACAGTTCCACATTAGTTTTTGCGGCCATACGGCACACATAAATGACTTAGCAGTGGTTATGGCATTCTATTTTGCAGGTAAATTAGAGAAATAACTTCACTTACCGCCATGTTGCTGTGTATGATATTCCAGTTGACATGCAAATTCGTACGATTCGCCACATTTACCACATACATACGGCTGTAAAAGGCAATGATTTGAGAAGCTTAACAAACTCAAGATGGGAGGGAGAAGGGGGAAGGAGAACTTAAGACGATGCGGCTTCTCTAACATAGGGATGATATGTTGAAAAAAGGAGAATAGTTACGTGTTACTCAGCGCACTGGAGGTATTTCCTTAATTTTCTTTCCAAAACAGGGAACAGATCCGTTAAACCCTGCTGGAAATTTACTAAATGCTTCTCTGATTATGAAAATTATGCAATCTTCAGTGAGTGACTGGAACAACTGCTAGAACAGAAAAGCATTTGGAGAGATCGAAAAAGTGAAATTGGGTTTTAAAAAAAGGAAAAGCGGTTACCGTAGCAAACACCTACATATTTTCAGAATATTAACTGAATCTTAATAAAGAAAGCAAAAGTATAAAATAGAGTGCAACAACGGCAATACAAAGAATAGAGGTGTTCCTTAGCCCTGCGGCTAAGTGAACCCCTCAATATAAAAATTGGCATTAAGAAAGATAAAGAGACTCTGAAGCTAAAAATGACTCACTTGTGAGATGTTATGAACCCTTTCATGTGCTCGCAGTGTATTCATATAGTTGAATGTGAGGCCACAAAAGCGGCACTTATAAAAAACAAATCCATTATCATCCTTTTCCACAACTGTCAGTGGATCTTCCGACTCCACAGATGAGTCCTAAAATTTCAATTTTGATAGTGAGTCCAGACCTATTTGCTAGGACAAAAAAAATAAATGGAGCTAATTTACTCATAATTTACCAAACCCTATTGGTTGAAAAAAA